TATAGAGGCAGTCACGTCTGGTGGTAAAGTCAGTCAAGAAAAAGTTTACTTAAGAATTAAACGGTCCCTTTAATTTAAGGTCATCAGAAATTAAGCTACCTTGCTAACATATATATTAAAACTTAACAAAGTCAACAAAAAACAGCCATTATGGCTCATAACAGTCTTAACCAGGCCAAAAGTCGCAAGATAGCAAATTAAAAGAAAGGAATTAAATTTATTAAATTCTTAGTATGTAAGGTTTCAAAAAACTGACGCAAAACATTTATCGGGATTAAAACAGCAGCATAAAAATCCTCAAATAAAGAATTCATTACATGAGAGATCAGTTTTTCATTGATTCCTCACTGTTATCTCTTAAATCATCCAGATTTTTTTTAAGTTTAAAATATGTATTACATGTTAAATATGTATTTGTATTTTTGTGGTTATAATATTGTGTAATTTTATATTTCGTAATTATTGTGGTACAATAATTACGAAATATAAAATTACACAATAAAGTTGAAAATCAAAGGGTTTTCTGTACAGACTAAGGTGTTAACAATAGATAACTAGTCGATTCAAAATTAATTGTCGGCACGTATTACTTTTCAACCCTGATGAATGAAATTATATGTTTCCCTCAATATTTACGTTCGTATAACCTCAAACTTGAAGCTCAATAGGCGTACAAGACAATAGACATTGTACAAAATTATTTTCAAACATAGTAATTCTTACTATAGTGAATAGCAATGCAGTAAAATGAAAGATTCTACTATGTTACATAGCAAATCTTATTTTAGAATGTAGTCCATTTTAAAACGATTACAATGGAATTTACTATGTTGTGTAGCAAAAGTTGTACTATCACATTTTTTACTATGTTAGACATAGTCATTTTAATCATGCCGTAAAATGATTTTTGTAAAGTTACTGCATAACAAAAATTATTTAAAATACAATTACAACGTTGTTTTAAACGTGATAATATTGCGTTATCAGGTAAGTATAGCTCAGCTTTCCTAAAAATAAAGTAATTTTTAATACAGTTATAATACTTTTTTAACACTACTTTTTTTTAGTTTCGTACGTTAAAACATAATTTTTTTCGAAAGTGAGTATACATCCATAGTTACATATTTCTATGCCATAAAATATTTTGATATTTTACCATACTATCGCAACAGCAAAGTTTAAGAGCTTGGATAAGTTTCTTCTTTCATCTTTTTTTTACAGCAGAAGACCTTTACCAATTCTTATTTTAATACATTACACTTAGCCAAACAGTTCTTTAAAAGTACGTGTTATTGTCTTATTATTTTTAATATCATTATCATAAATTACGATTCAACTAACAAAAATTAATGAAAACATGTTTCTCAAGGATAATATTTTAATATCCCAACAAATAACAGGAACTGTGCTCGTAAATGAGTTGCTATACATATTCCAACATACACTTGTCCTCGCAGTCAATATTTCCCATGGATACTAGGACAGTAGGGTGCAGAAAAAAAGGCCATAAGAATGTGTTTTTCTCGCCAGAGACTAAAAAGTATTTATATAAAAATCTATACCTGGCATCCCCCACGTGTAGAGATTTCATCAACGCCACAACGTACTGCATACATTAGTACGTATAAGATCTTACACAAGGCTAGTGCCTCCGCGCACGTTAACGAGGAAAAGAGAGAACAAACTTGAACCGGTTGCTCACGGTATTATTGGAATCAATTAAACGACCATAAACACGTGCCACTCTTTCTCTCCTTAATTTCTGGTCTTTCTTTTATTTTGCTTTTACATGTATTGTACGTTGATGAATGAACGAAAGAGGACAAGAGGAATAAATAGTTTTTATTTCCCCTTTTTTACTCTGCAAATAGCTATCGTTTTCTATGCTCTTCAGCAAATATTTTTATAATAAAAAATTCTTAAAAACAATTAGATTTCTTATCACCAATTTTTATTTATCAAAAAAAAACGTTTTAATTTACTAATATATTAATCAAAGTCGTTAAAATCGTCGTAATCGCTAACCATGCTACTCAACCGATCAGGCTAAGATTTTGCATGTTGATGATTGATACTTCTTGGATGATTCAAATAAAATTTTATCTCGAAAAAACTCATAACAACAGCATAAAAAAGCTCTAAGTTTTGCAAAAATACGTTAGTTCAGTAGGATCAAGTTAGTGGTGTGGACGAAAAATCGAAGCTACCTACAATAAAATTAAAAAAGTGTGGTTTTAACAATGGGGCCTGAGCATTTCAGCAATTTCTACAGTGTCCCCTGGAAGTATATCAAGAACAGAGTTGTTAGTCGTGCAGCTGAGTATCCCAGCTACCAACGACACTCTTTTCTAACGAGCAAGTGACCTACGTCTAATTTTACCCTGAACCACCAGGATTGACGAGTGTCATCAATAAAAAAATTTTCTAAACGATAATTTCTCTGGCAGAATACCTGAAGACGTGTCTAGCTAGAGAAATACCTGCTCCAACACTTCATAGTTTTGTGGCCGCTTAACCATCCGGCCTGGTGCCATTAGAGAATTTTTTACTACAAATGCAAGCCAAAGAAAACAACCTTCAGGAGTTTGGACAGCCACAAAAGTCTTCTTTCCAGTGATCGTCCTTATGGCAGACTCACAAAGAATGTATTTTTCAGGCCCACTTTTCCAAATAACGATGAGCGGTTGCTTCTCCGGGGAATGACCTGAAGACGAGATATTCTTTGGTTAGCGGCGTTTCTCCCTCCAGCACATTCTTCGTACACAGAGTCTCTGAGGGTAACTACTCACAGCCAGCTCTCCATCATCAAGAATAATTTTAAGGAATAGCTGGAAGTATTACCACTAGCCCTTTTCAGGGCCATTATAAGTATTTACGTTCCCTAGTTAACCATAAATTTCATCAGTTCTTTTTAGGGTCACGTAAGGTCCAACTATATGGCCAACAAATACATCTTAACTACTATTTCTGGTAATAGTTCATGGACTATAAGACTATATAAGACCAGCCACTATTAAACTAAGTTAGTCATTCACTGGTAGACGTCCCGAGCGGAGTTGTTCGTTGCAAGGCTGGGAACCCCGGCGACCGACGACCCTACATTACCTTCCTGACTCTGAGCATGCAACCAGAAATTACCAATCCTTGCTATGATCTGCGCTAGGCCAAATTAACAGCTACGAAGGAAATATAAACTTTGGCAAACGGGACAGTCCCTAACGGGCAAGCATCACGAACCAATGTTAGGACCCCACCTTAGATTACCAAAACAACTGAGTCCACAAAAAAAAGGTGCTTCAGATACTAATGATTTCAGCGTCACGCCAGGATGCGTTGTTAAAGAGCTCTTTAACTTTTTCCAATGCTTAGAAGTTGTAGTTTTCTAATCAGTCCTTCTAATCAGTCTGGCGCTACAATAACAAGCCAGAGAGGATCACCCTCAGGTATAGAGGCAGTCACGTCTGGTGGTAAAGTCAGTCAAGAAAAAGTTTACTTAAGAATTAAACGGTCCCTTTAATTTAAGGTCATCAGAAATTAAGCTACCTTGCTAACATATATATTAAAACTTAACAAAGTCAACAAAAAACAGCCATTATGGCTCATAACAGTCTTAACCAGGCCAAAAGTCGCAAGATAGCAAATTAAAAGAAAGGAATTAAATTTATTAAATTCTTAGTATGTAAGGTTTCAAAAAACTGACGCAAAACATTTATCGGGATTAAAACAGCAGCATAAAAATCCTCAAATAAAGAATTCATTACATGAGAGATCAGTTTTTCATTGATTCCTCACTNGCGATGAGAGCCGTTGACATTGATGACGTAGGTCTTGTCATCGACCCGGCGAATGACCCGGTGAGGGCCCGTGTACGGAGGCTGGAGGGGCTTGCGGATGGCGTCAACCCTCTTAAAAACGTGGGAGCACGTCCGCAAGTCTTTGAAGAAGAACGGGGCGTTCTCCGCTGCGTGTCTCGAAGCCGGCGCAGCCTTGATGGACTGGGCGAGTCGGCGGAGACCTTCTACGAAGGTGGCAGGGTTTGCGACGGGCTGGCTCTCCGTAGCGAAGAAGTCCCCGGGCACTCTGAGCGTAGTGCCGTAGAGCATCTCGGCCGGAGAGGCTTGCAGGTCCTCCTTGTAGGCGGTTCGTAGCCCCAGAAGGACCAACGATAGTTGGTCAGGCCATGGGATCCCGGGGTCGCACATGAGGGCGGCGTTGATGGTGCGGTGGGTCCGTTCCACCATGCCGTTGGACTGCGGGTGGTATGGCGTGGTGTGCACCCTTTTCGCGCCGAGGAGCTTTGTGAGCTCCGAGAACAGGGCGGACTCGAACTGGGCGCCCTGGTCCGTTGTTATCGTGAGTGGCGTGCCGTAGAGGCTAACCCACCTGTCGATGAGAGCCTTGGCGATGGTTGATGCCTGTTGGTCAGGCAGGGGAATGGCTTCTGGCCATCGGGTGAACCGGTCGATGATGGTCAGGCAGTAGGTATAACCCTGACACGGAGGGAGTTTGATGATGTCGATATGGAGATGCTGGAAGCGCTCCTTGGGGGCCTTAAAGGAGCCTAGGGCGGACCTGTTGTGCCGGTGGATTTTGGAACGCTGCCAGGGCTCGCATGTGCGCGCCCAACGGCTAACTTCCTTACGCATGCCTGGCCAGACATACTTTGAAGCGACAAGACGGGTCGTGGCCTTAACTCTCGGGTGAGCGAGGCCATGGAGAAGCTCAAATGCTGTGCGTCGAAGAGCCCGTGGGAGATAAGGCCGGACGACTCCCATGGACGTATCGCAGAGGACGGAGCAGTCGTCGATCGAGAGGGTCTGCAGGTTGAGGCTCGAGGGAGTAGAGATATGTTCGGCTTCCTGGTCTTTGGCCTGTGCTTCGGCGATGATCTTCGCGCTGAGTTGGGCAGGCATGGAGATGGTGGCGACGTGTGAGAGACGTGGCGGCGTTGCGTTGATCAAGAGACGATCGAGTGAACTCGAAGAGTCCAAAGGGAGTCGTCACTGCAGTCTTCGGGATGTCTTCTTTTGCGATAGAGATCTGGTAAAAGGCTTTTTTAAGTCAATTACCGAGAATACCGATCCCTGCAGCTCCTGGAGAAGGTCCTCGACGATCGGGAGTGGGTAGCGGTCGGGCTTCGTGCAGCTGTTCAGTCGCCTGTAATCGCCGGTGACGCGCCAGGAACCGTCGGGCTTCGGAACCAGGTGGATCGGGCTTGCCCACTGGCTGGAGGAGGGCCGGATGATGCCCTGGGCCATGAGACGGCTGAACTCGTCCTTGGCGGCGTCGAGACGAGGGCCGATGAGTCTCCGAGGGCGCTCGAAGACCGGGGGGCCGTTCGTGTGAATGCGGTGAAGCACTGGGAGATCGGGCAGGTCTGCTGCCGATCCGTCAACCAGCGTTAGGTCGTTGAACTCCCGAACGAGGTCTTGGTAGCGTTGACAAAGGAGTCCTGCCGGAATCTCGACCTGCTGGACGACCGAGACGCTGTGGCCGGTTGTGAGGGCCGCAGAACCCTTGGTGGAAAGCCCGGTCGTGGCGTCGAGGAGCTGCTTTCCTTTGAGGTCGATGAGCAGGCTGAAGTGCGTGAGGAAGTCCGCTCCCAGAATGGCCGTCTGGACGTCGGCGACGATGAAGGACCAGACGAAGGCTCGACGCAGGCCTAGGTTGACCTCGGCACGGTGTGTGCCGTACGTGGAGATCGCCGAGGCGTTAGCAGCGGTGAGCGTAAGAGAGGCACGAGCTGGTGGCTTCTTGAACAGGGAAGCTGGGAGCAGAGAAACGACTGACCCGGAGTCGACGAGAAACCTTATCGTTGAGGTTTTGTCGGACACATGGAGGCGGTTTTCTGCAGGGGGAGTAGCGCCGACTTCCGCCGCCTGATACGAAGGCGGCACTACTCGTTTCCCTGGTTCGACGGGGTGAAGTTGCAGGGTGGCCTGCAGTTGCGAGCGTTGTTCCCCAGGGTGCGATGGTACCAGCACCACGGGTCGTTGGGGTCTCGGTTTGGCGTGTTTGACCTGCTTCGGGGGCCGCCTTGCGACTGCGTGGTTGAACGGCCACGTTGCTGGCCTTCCGGTTGTCGCTTAGCGATGTTGAGGAGCTGCGCGACGGACTGACGCAGCGACGCCATCTCCTTGGCCAGGGACTCCACGGTCGGCGCAGAAGACTGACCAGCCGTCTGGGGCTTGGTCGCTTGAGGGTGAACCGCGGCGACGTGCGGGTAGTCCTGGATCAGCTCGTCGGCCAGAGACGCCAGCTCATCCAGCGGGGTTGATTTGACGACCCGGAGGGAGCGTGCCACGGACGGCGGCAGGAGGTCGAACCACCGGACCCTGATGGCATCGTCGGTGACCGCGGTGCCCGCGAGAGCTTTCATGCGACGCAGGAGCTGTGACGGCTTCTGGTCGCCCAGCTCGAGCTGCGTGAGCAGCTTGCGGAGACGCTGATCGGCCGTGTCTGTCATGCGCTTAAGAATTTCGGCCTTAAGGAAATCGTACTTGCCCTCAGCTGGAGGTGCCATGAGGACGTCGGCGATTTCCTGCACCGTGGCGTCATCCAAGGCAGCGACGACGTAGTCGAATTTGCTTGAGTCCGCGCGGATCCTGTGGTTGTTGAAGGCCGCCTCGATCCGGATAAACCACACGGTCGGGTTGACCTTCCAGAAACGCGGGAGGCGAAGAGGTGCGACCGACATCACGGGGTTAATGTCGTCACCCGTGGGGCTCGCGCCTCCAGTAGGATTGTCGCCGGGGGGAATTACACCATTGTCGTTGGGGGGAATTACACCATTGTAGTTGTTGGCCATGGCGAGTGCCGACGGCGAGACGAGTGTAAAAAAACTGCACTGCACAGCACTGTCACACAACCCCTCACTCTCTGTCTTTGTCCTTGTCTTTTTTAAGAAGATCCACGAGAGCGAGAGAGAGAGAGTGCGGGCACGTTGGCGCGTGGCTCGTAGCGTCGCCCGAGTTGACAATGGCCGTGTTCAACGAACGCGAGCGAGCGCGCGGGCTTTTGCTCAAAATGGCGGCGGGCTGGACAAAGCACGCGCACTGCAAGGCGTGCCGCGCGAGCGAGATGAGTCGCCTTGCTCGCCGAAAAAAGAAAAGAAAGATGGCAAAGAAAAAAAACACGCGATTGTTTAGCTCACCTCGAAACTTTTTCAGGCGGGGTCACCACTGTTGAGGTCAGCTGAGCGTGTCCCGGAGCTCGAGGAAGTTAAAGGCGAGGGTAGGCGCTCAAAGATGCTCACTCAAGTGTACTCAATAAATGGCGCTTTATTAGCATACAAAGAATAGAAGGCAAAATGGTACGGCGAAGTGTCGAGAGCTGTGATGGCAGCGGAGGCTGCGAGCGTGAGCGTGCGCGAATGCGGCTCATGCGAGGGTCGAGCTCGGACTGGTGTGGGCTGGACGTGCGCCACACTAGGTAGCTGCTTGGCGGCTAGAGAAGGCGGCGGCAGCGCCGCTCGGCGTGGACAGCGCGAAGACCTCGCGTGGCTTCAGCTGCTGCTTGCGTCGACCCCCTGTGTGTGCCTTGACGATAGTTGAAGGCGCCACATATGTACATTGAGTATTATTTTTGCCCCTTACAGGCAACATTAAACTTAAGAAATATATTACGGTTGTTAGGTGCGAAAGTGTGTTGTTGGAGAGTCCCTGCTGCGTGGGCAGGGGACTCTCCTTTCTCGCTCCTTTGAATGATTCTCCAAAATCACTTTAAGGCTAAATATTTTATGTACTAAAAAACAACAAACCAGTGATGCCAGAGACCCAGAGATCCAAGATTTTTTTTGAGTGCTCCCAGCTAGCCGTGCAAGCACAGAACAACTCTACTATCTTTCCAAGCAGGTAGGCAGGGGTAGGGGAGACCCTCTTCCCATTTTTAACTTAAGCCCCACCAAATTTTTCACAATTTGAACACATTGGTCAATTCCCCTACAACATAGCTGACGATGGTGAAGTGGACTATGTCTTTTGCTTGCGCTTCAAATCTGTTCAAAGACAGTTTGATTCCGAGCAAATGGTTTTTTTTTTTTTTTTATTTATTTTTTTTTTTTAATTGTAAAACTAATTGATCCTATTTTCACACTACCTAGTAGTTGGTATCTCGGCACTTTTTTTTTCAAGAAAAAATTAAGGAATAATATTTGTATACTACACTGTAAAAAATGCTGTAGTAAAATCACTATGCTTTGCATAGGTAAAGTAAAGACCTATGCTCAGCATAGGGATTTCGCTATCGGTTTGTAAAATGTTTTTTCTGGATAGTAAAATTAAATGTCAAGATAGTAATTTTCAGGGAGGCTGAAACCATCAGAAATTTTTTGCAATTGCGTAGTAATTTTAATATCCCAAGCGTAAAAGTCATATCTTCCGTAGAAGAAGCACTATCGTACTGTTAATGGTTCCATTTTTATTAAAAGGGTTATGTTATTATATTTTGATGAGAGTTGCAGCTGGTTTAGATTTTTGACCACCCTCGAGCTTCAGCTCTTGGTCTACTAAGGTGTATACTCACGATGTAATGGAATAATACAGAACCTAAAAAGTCTTTACTCTTTTAAATGCTTCCACTACATTTACAAAATATCTAATACTTTCTGATCACGAATTCTTCTGAACACTGCTAAGAAACTCACTTTTTATCCTTATCATAATTATCGATTACAGTGCGAGAGCGTTAAGCACAAACCGTAAATTAAGTAGAAGCAGAGGCCGTCCAAGTCATTGAGATATGAGGGGGCTTTACATATATATATATCTTATTCAGTTATTCGTATTTTTATAAAATATGTAATCAATTTAAAATGAGTAAAAAATTCAGTATGTATTATCAATTATTATAAACCTACTAACTAACTAAATGGTGTGGGAACTGTTTTAATTAGTTTTACAGTAAAAAAAAAAAAAAAAAAAAAAAATACGTTGGCTCGGAATCAAATTGTTTTTGAACAGATTTAAAGTGTGAGCAAAAGACATAGTCCACTTCACCATCGTCAGCTATGTCTTAAGGGAATTGGAGAATGTATCAAAGTTGTGAGACTACTCTCTCTCCAAGCAGGTAGGCAGGGGTAGAGGAGACCCTCTCCCCGTCCTTTAACTTATGCCCCACCCTTTTTCTACAACTAAAATACATTCTTGGTTCCCCTGTAACATAACTGACGATAGTCAAGTGGACTCTGTCTTTTGCTAGTGCTTCGAATCTGTTCAAAGAGAATTCGATTCCAAGCCAATGTATTTTTTTTTTTTTTTTTCG